ACTTGTAAATATGCCTAAAACACATCTTTCATGATGACCAGGAAGCTGTGGATGGTGTTTSAGGTTGGAGATGGATCCTGGGGTAAGATGGGAAAGGGAGCTTTTATTTTTCAGTTTATAGCCATCTGTACTAAACATTTCTTTTCCTTTACCTCAAATGAATACTATATGCTTACATAACAAAAAATAATCAAGATATTTAGAATAATATAAAGAAATAAAGAATATTATAGCTTGGAGGAAGGTTCCCAAAGTGGCTTCCGAAAGTCCATTTAGTTAGTCAAGTATCAGAGCAATAGTAACAGTGATCATTRGATACTACCTGCTGTGTGATCTGTTTCTATGGAAAACCTCACCTCAAGCCACAGAAATGTTTCTTCTTGCTCTTTCTCTCCACGTGTTCCACTCTCCAACATTGACCTTGAAGTAGGAGCTGGGCCTCCCTTTTGCTGTCTGCAGGGGCCATGACAGCAGGATGCCTACTGTCCACTTGAGGCAGGAACCAAAGGCACTCTGGTACATTCCAGACCACTGTGTAGAAGGAAAACGAACATTCATTAAGTACCCACTGCTTATTGTACACTGTACCTGGTCTGTCTCATACCTAACTTATTTTCCCACTGTCAATGATTCAATGAGATAAATCTTATTTTCTAGGAAACTGAGGCTCTAAGAGAGTAACATCCCTGAGAGTTCACCCCCTTAATAACTGATGGAGCTGAGATGCAAGCCTAAAAACTTGTGTACTCTCCATTATAGCTTAGTGATCCTCTAGTAGAACCATCTCTTTGTAAGAAACCTGTAAGTCAAGTGTGAAGAGGCTCTTTTAGACATTGTCCCAAGAGTCAATAGGGCTCTCTATCATAGAATGCCTTATTAGATGGTGAAGGTCATGAGGGTCCTGATCATCTCTGTATCTGCAGTGCCTAGCACAGTGTTGAAAGCATTGTAAATTCTCAATAAACGTCAGGTTGATTAATAAGAAACATTATTGTTTGCTCTACTTCATAAGATAGAAAATTGAAATCATATATTTTAGGAACAATTTCAACAGCAAATATTGAAACAAGAAAAATGCTTTCTCGTTAACCTCCAGTTGATTAGAAAATTCAAATAACTAAAATGCTACAAAGAAAGTTCTTTGTTTACAAGTCATCCATGTATATGAACAAACTGAAGGGGGAATCCATTGTAAATTTTTGTTTGGCAGAACAATAGTTTGGGCAGGCTCTAGAACCTACTCACCCTGTGAAATATTTGTAATGTTCTTTGTCTTACTTTTTTGTTGCTGTAACAAAATATGCAAGACCAGGCAATTTATAATGATTATAAATGTACTTGGCCCATGGTTCTGGAAGCTGGGAAGTCCAAGAATGTGTTGATGGCATCTCCTTAGCATTGGATAAGGGCATTCTTGCTGTTTTGTAACATGGTGGATGGTGTCGCATAGAGAGGCAGAGCAAGTATACTAGTGTGAGTTTCTTTTCCTCTTCTTATGCAGCCACTAATGCCACCATGGGGGCCCCACCCTCATGACTTCATCTAATCCTAATTACTCTCCAAAAGCCCACATCCAAATACCATAAACATATGTATCTGGGGATTAAGTTTCCAACACATGAATTTTGAGGGGTCACATATGATCCATAGCACTCCTCATGGGGGGAAAGCTTGCTGCCATATAACCAACTTTCAAGCCAACTATTAGAACACAACTGAAAGTCAAAGACAATGAACATTCCCCTTAATTTAAACATACCGTGTGGTCAGTATTTTTCTTTCAGGAACTCAGAGTTGTCAAAGGAAAGAAAAGAGCTCATTTGTGTCAGCTGTAAAGGCACATGGCATTCAATAATAATTAACTTGATTTTTACAATGTTACAGTCTCTCTACTAGAGCTCAAAGTGCATCAATTTATTGTACTCTCACCACAGTTAGATATTAGGTATGAGAATTATTTCCATTTTCACAGAAATGGAGGCTGGAAGAAATTAAGTTACCAGTTAATGGTGGAGTTGGGCCTAGAATCAAGGTCCAGCTGGCCTCAAAACCCTCTCTATTCTGACTTTCTTTRGATACAAAGAGCATTTATTTCTTGATATAATGGGAAAAACAAGGAGACTTATCTGCAGACAGTCCATCAGACCCCATACACTCATGGAAACAGTGGGTCAAAAGCTGCTGTTAGAACCAAGAGCTGACCATTGGAGGCAATGCAAGCCTATTCTTGTCTTTGACAAGAGTTACTTTGGTGTATGGTAAGGTAGAATCCTTCCTGGGTTGCTTTTAAGAGCAAAAGGAAGAATGAACACTACAAGAGTAGACAATTGTTTTGATGAATTTTGTTATAAAAGACAGTTGAGAATTTGAGTGGAGAGAGATGTGGAGTCAAGGAAGGATTTTGTTCTTCTTAAAGATATGAAATTAGCATGTTGTACATAGCTGGGAATGGCCTAGGACAAAGGAAAGCAAAGTGGAAAAGGGGAAAAACCATGTAAATGTGTCTGACCCGCAATGGAGTTGGCCTTGGATGGAGTACAGATGATTCATTCATAGCAACAGGAGAGCTGGAGAGTCAATAAACCAGGCCAACATAGACTGATTGTTGAGATGCAACAAGGTCCACTTGAGTTAAGTTTTATTTTTAACAATTGAACAGCATGATTTTTGAATCTCCAATCATGTTTTACTGAGTACAGACAGAGAGAAAGAAGAGAATTAGATTTTATCAGGATTGTGGGGCAGGGGGTTGTTGTTTGTTTTTTAGGTAAAGTATGGAAAGAGAGAGGAACATGAATTTGAGGGTAAATGTGAGAAATAATAGCAATGAATCTGAAAACTAAGATCATAAAGACAGTGAGAGACAGAAAAAAGGTCATGGAAGAGGTAAATTATAGATGTTGTTAGGGTCAAGAAGACACCAGGGTAAGACAACAGAGGCAATAAACTAGGATGGTAGGAAGTGGTGGTTGGAGAGCAGAATGCTTGACATTGACATTAAGAATGGTGTTTCTATGAAAATAGGTGGCTAGCCTGGTGGAGAAGGTCAAGGATAGGAGAGGATGTCATAGTTGAGAGACCAGAGTGTGAGAAGAATCCACTATGTCCATATGGAAAAAAACGAGAATTTCCATGGGAATGTTATTGGGGCAACTGACAGTGAGCCACATGCCAATCCCTTCTAAGAAGGAGTAGAATAACTGAAGAGTTTGTGGATGGATGAAATAAAGAGTGGCAAATAATATGGTCTATTCAAGGAGAGTCAGATTTCAGAGCAAGAAATTAAAAAAAAAATTGAGAGGAAAACTGAAGATCAGAAGATTTTGCCAGTAATGAACCATGAATTGCAAAGAGCAAATGGAAAGATTCTAGGAGGTGGAATAGGAAGGAGTAATATGTGCAAATATTCACTCAAGCATATTTGATTATTGGATTTTGGAGATTTGATTATCAGGAGCAGGACAACAGAAGAGGATGGAGAGATAGGCTAAGCAGTTCAAGAATGGCTGCCTTGGTGGAGGACGGCCCCACCTCCCTCAGCTCAAGAGCAATGCTGGCTAAAGTGCTTCTTTCTGTCCTCCATGGGATTTGGAAACTGAAAGCTGACAGTGGAAAACCCGGGGTGGCTAAAATTGTACGGGTTGAAAACTCATTGTTACAGATCTGGGCCCTTAGGCTGCTGTGGCTGGTGCTCTAGTCATTTTGAGACATTGGACCTTTTGAGACAACAGTGTGGACTGTTGCCTTTCCAACTGTCAGTCCTCCAAAAAACGGAGAAAAGACATCTATGCTTACTCCTTCCTTGCCCTTGACCCCTCCTCGGGGTTATCAGCTGTGAGGTTCTGTCTCCAGGGTAAGTCCTAAAAGACCGGGCCCTGCCTGGCAGAGCAGTTACAGCCAGTCCTGGGGGGAAATACACAATGCATCTGTCCATATTATCCAGGCCATTGACCCAGAGAGGAAGATTCCCATAATGTGACACTAATTACTTTATGTCTCTCAGACCCTAACTTCTGTATACAGAAGTTACATCCTGTATTTGAAACCTATTAAGAATCAATGGAGCAGTGCTCCCCTTCCCACCGCAATCACAGTGCTGTGAAGTCCTCCATAATTGCTTCCCTACCTGAGAAATTGACATCGTATTATTTCATCTTGTTGAACCAGGTGGTTTCTTAAGAGGAGGAAATAATGTTTGGACTGGAGTTAGAATATAGGTTCAAAAAGGAGAAATCATGGAGCGTAATTAAGCTCCTCCTCCCTTGTTGCAAGACAAAATTCAAGCTCTGAAAATATAACACCTCTCAAGAAGTCCCAGAACAATTGGAAGAGAGCAGATGCAATCAATACATAAGAGCAGGGAATAGTTTTTGAGCAGGTTATGCTCTAATTATTAATAAATGCACAAAGGATTTGGGGTGGGGGAAAACAACCTCCAACAGGGAGTCAGAAGGCAGCTCGCGCCGCTGCAGAGCATGACAGCCACGGTTGCTTAGCAACAGACTGGGATGCGCGCGGGATGCCCCGCAGAGTGTGAGCTGGTGCCTCCCTCAGCAGCAGCAGGTGCCGCGCATTCCCAAGCCTTCCGGATCGCTGGAAAACTTTGAGGTTTCTCAGCGCTGGAGTGTCCGCGCCAGGCCCCAGCCGACACAGGGATGCGCCCAGACGGCTGAGGGTAGACGATGGATCCAAGAGCCCGCGCGCCCCGCGGGGAAAACAGCAGATTAGGTTTAGCGCCCGCAGAAAGTTATCGCGCACCTGCTAGTACCTGGAAGATGCATGATCCCTGGGCCGAATTGCCCCCAAATTTCTTTGTCAATTCCTTACCTTCAGTGGATCCAGCGGTCCGAGTCCCTAATGGACTCTGGTTCACGGATTCTGATAATGGGAGAGAGAAACCCAGGCTTTTCTAAGGGACTTGCTTGTTAGCTGATGCCTAATCGATTTGCCCTGAATGGTCGCGCTTCAGTTTTTGTTTTCTGCCTTTCTTCTTCCCCCAGACAGTGAGTTTGTGGACGCCTCCCCCGAGTCTTACAGCCCGGAGGAGTTAGGTAAGTCTTTAAAATTTAATTTCTTTTTTCTTTTCTTTTCTTTTTTTTTTTTTTCTGGAAGAAATCCCGCGGAGGGATGGATAGAAAGTGTCAAGGACACTGGGCGGCACGCACGCTCCAGTCTTGGACAGAATGGCCTTTTCTAGCGTATGCTTCGGGGTAGCGGGGTAAGAGTCCACTTGCAGTGTGTGTGTGTGTGTGTGTGTGTGTGTGTGTGTGTGTGTGTGTGTGGTGTGTGTCCGTCCGTCTGTCCGTCCCCAGATCAGTGGTGATGCTAAAGCAGCATGGAACATAAAACTTCCAGACCTGTGACTGATCTGCCTGTACTGATCTGCCTGGAAGGACCCGGTGGTGGGCGATTCTGCCTTGCCAAAGTACCTTGCCTGAGAGGGACATTGTGTGGGTAGTCCTTACCCTGAATTTAAAGAATTCAAAGGCCTCCAAAGGGCAGTATTGTCATTAAACCACAGGACCTGGGAGCCGCCTTCCCCCCCTGATAGCTATTCTTCATTTGGTTTCCAGGTATTTTGGACTAGGTCATTCCATGCTCCTCTGCCTATGGCTGTAAGAGATTTTGGCAGGTGAATGGTGACATTTGTYGAAGGCAGAGTGTGTGAAGAGAGGGAAATTTGCACCAGTCAGGATCCTTCTGAGCATTCCTGCTCTCCTGTCTTACTGGTGGCCTAGTGTGGTTGCCTTTTTTCTTTTTCTGTTCTCAGGGATGGGTTTATCTGCTATCACCTGATCTGTCAAGACTGTCCTAGCTGTTCTCTTATGACCAGCTGAAAATCTTGACTTCCTACCATGAAATGAAAGTATTTTTTAAAAATGGTATAAATGGCAGTAAAGGAGAAGAGAAATTGTCCACAGCAATTGAAAAATTTTACTCACTGAAATATTCTCAGCATTGGGCACCTTGTTTCTGGTCAGCCTCTTAGCCTGGGCTGTATGTTCTTATCCAGTTCCACATCATCTCAAGTAAAATTCCACCTTGGCAACAATTCTAATTTATTTTCGGGAATCTCGAACTTAAAATAGGTCTGGATCAAGAGTGGCACTCTGAGGTAAGGAAGAGTACCTTGTTTATTCAGAAACGTGTTTCTGACAAGGTGTGAGGCAATCAAGTCTCTGTTAATGGAATTGTACATTACATGCTATCTGTTAAAGGCACACCATAGTGAATCTTTATAAAATGAAAAGAACATCTGAACCATAGTTTTGCATGAAGTGATTTATTAGAGAGGAAGTACTTGGTGATCAGCTCCCTGCATGTGTAACTGTGTACTGATAATACCAGCGTTGACATTCCATGGTGTGACAGAAGCTATTTGGTCCTTTTAGATCACAGATGAGCATAAGCAATGGCAGAATGTCTTTCTCTGAAAGACCCGACTGTCTAACTACTAAATGGTTTGCATTGCAGAATGATTTATGTATAAGAAAGGTCCAGGTGTTTGACCCAACTCTTTAATTTCCATATCTCCCCCTGAGATTAACAGTCTAGACTGCCCAGCACARGCACTGATAAATAGAGGGAGCTCTGCAAATTAGCAGTAAATATTAAGAAAGTGATGTGGTTTTTTYTTTCTTTTTAGTGTAGAGAGCAAGAAAACAACCTTTTTTTTCATGTGGGAAAAAACAGATTTGGCTATAACAAATTAGTATAGATTGGGTAGTTTTTTGGTTTTGTTTTTTATTTTTATTTTTTGTAATTGTAGATGGACAGAATACCTTTATTTTATTTGTTATGTGGTACTAAGTGTCAAACCTAGTGCCTCACACATGCTAGGCAAGCACTCTGCCACATAGCCATAACCCCAGCCCTTAGAATGGGTAGTTTTTAAACAACAGAAATTTTTTGGTTCTGGTTGTCAGGTAACCTCTTAGGTATTTTCCAGTTCTAGATTCCTAAGATGCTGTGATGGTCTATATAAGCCAAAAGAGGCCCCTTGCCATCTGATATTCATTGTGTATAATCATGTGCCTTTCCATTTGAGTACATGGTATCTCTTTTTGGGGAAAGGGTTGACAGAGGAGTCTTCTGAGAGAGAATGCATTTTTTCTATGCTATTCAGGTCAAAGAGGGAGCTCACATTTATCCCTTGGAAAGAGGATGATAGTTTTTGGTGCTTTTCTTAGACACACAGCAGGAAAAATGCCTCTTATAGCAGTTGATGAGGTTGTCTAGTAGCCATCTTTTAGGAGCATAGATGCACATAGGTTTAGTCGTGGCTAGAATATAAGAAGAGGTAAAGAAAAGTTAAAGGAAAACTGTTTATTCACAACATTGTCTACATTCGATGCATGGGTTTTCCACACTAAGCAGTTGTTCAAATCTATGCAAACATCAACTGGGTGTCCTACAGTTTAATTAAATTCAGGCATTCCACCTAGTTTGTGAAGACTCCACAGGTTAAGGACTCTGTTAAAGCTCTCTCCTACTTTAAATGCCAATTGTAAGTAGTGGTTCCCCTCATCACCACACCTCTGGCAGACTTGGCTAAAAATCAGAGATTCCCACAACCTTCTCCTGAAGGATACAAATCAACCGCCAGAGAAAGAAATAGAGAAGGCAAGATCTGTGTGGGTCCCAAGCACAGGAGCTTCCATCCGGTAGGATTAGGGTGATTCACCCTTCTAGCACATGGATGTGATGATCAACCCAGAAACTTTCCAAACTTCKTCATTTAGGATTCTTATGTAGGTACCATTATGTGGGCAAGATAGACTGAATACATTGGCCACTAGTGAAGTCTCTAGCCCTTTCTCCTCCCCAGAGGTCAGATTGGGGTGGGAGTGCATTGCAAAGAGTTGTGTTCATCTGAAAGCTTCTCTGCAACTAACCTAGTCTCCAAAATAGGTAGTTGAAGATGGTGATCAGGCCAACTGAATTAGTGACTTGTCCCTGGTGTGGCACGTGGAATGGTTTTCCATCTGGATCCTTTGGTGACAGTCCCCTAGGTTCTTGCTGCTTGATTGGTAGTCTAATTCACCTCTGAATTTTTATAGCAGTCTCCTAACAAATTATGAAAGGCTCCTTGGGGGATTTGTTCTCAGTGTTATAGCAATATCATATAATGAAATTAAGTCACAAAAACAGGAGTTTTTGAAGAGGCAGTAGGAAAAGGAAATGTCTCTGGATGAATGCATACTGAAGGCCACTGTGATGGCGAGTCAAGAAGCAATGACCTCTTTCCTGTGGCCCATTTTCTAAAGAGGCAAAGCACATACCTTTCCACAGCTTTTCTGTCTCTACTTAGATGTGGTGGATCTCTAAGGGGTTAGAGAGAGTGCATGGAGAGTTGGGATGAACCCAGATATTATCATGGTTGCCCATGTGTCCCGACCGGCAGGACACATCAACGAGGGCGGCGAACCTAGGCGGGGAGGAATGAAGGGACAAGAGACACCACGAGGGATGACAGCAAGACAGGAGTTCTAATCAAGCTGCAAATTTTTATTGTTCACACAGAGGTATTTATATGCTGGGGATAGGGAAGCTCTCCTCTTGGCGGTTGCTGGGCGTAGGTTGTGAAACTGCCAGAGGAGAGATAATCCGCAAGATGGCCKCAGGCTGTTTCTTGTAAAGGTCAGGCTGTTCTTAGAAGGAGAACTTCCTTCTAGCCCCTGACACCCCTGTTTAATAACCTTCATTGACTCTCCCCTACCTGGAGAATAGACATCTGGTTTAGTATAGGAGGACCTCCAGGGTCTGCATCAACCCTATGCAATATAAACTTCTAGTTACACTGGGAATAATCCTCTGAATGTAGCTTCGTTCCTTCCACCTGCATACCCTTCCTCCCCCTTCTCCCTTCTCATATGGTTAGCTTTGATCCATCCTTCAATACTGACCCCATGTGTCATGACTTCTTAGTGGTTCTCAATTTGGCTGAATATTAAAATCAGGAAGAGCTCTTAAAAGTCTTTTTGACCGGGTCAGAACTCTGAACCAACCCATCACAATCCTTGGAGTCTGGGCCAAAGTATCAGTGTTATTGTTGTCATTTTTAAATCAATCTCAAGTGATTGTAGTGTGCAGCCATGGTCACATACCACGGCACTGGATAGTGACCACCACACTCTTCTTTATAAATGTAGCAGCTGACATAGTGCCTGGCACATGGGAAATCTGCAGTGAATGCTTATTGAATGAGAGAGTGAAGGAGCCATTGCTGAGCTGCTTTGCCTTTTTTAAAGTTACATTTCTGAGATTTCCTCCTCTACTGGTTTTAACAGTGCCTTGAGGACTAGATCCTTTAACTTGTGACTTGTATCTAACTCCTTTATTCATTCCTTGGTTTTATTCAGTTTGTTTTATTTTTTTAATTAAAGTTTAAAACTTTGTTTCATATAAAAGTAATACCTGATTATTTTAGAAAATTTGTATATTAGGAAGAATAGGAAAAAAACCTACTCACACTATCTAGAAGCAAACTGGTCCCTTATTTCCTTAACTTTTCCTAACTTGTTGTCCTTTGGGGTTGCTTGACCCCTGGCATGCCTGAGCAAGCTCAATTGCTGATCTTTACTCAGAGCCTGCAAACTGCCCTCTGAGGGTCAGAAGAGGAGTGTCCCATGAGAACTGCATTCTTGGGAGCCATGGGGGTTAACTCTCTGAGGACCAATATATCATGAGAAAGAGTTGTCTTGTGCTATTCTTGCCTTCCTCATTTAGGCAGGATGTCTGGGTCTTATCAGAAAAAAAAATTATAACATTTATGTAACTTCTTCAAAATAATCACTTAAATGTTTGCCAGTCGCTCCCCTACCACCCCACACTTCTAAAATATGGGATGAAGTCGTAGCTCTAGATAATTGTGTTTATGTCTTACTCGGGATAGCTAAACTCAAATGTCAGTGATTTAACACAGCAAAGGCTGTGTTTCTTTCTGGTGTTATATTCTAGCACTGGATTTAGAAGGGCTCTACTCCATGTGGTCATCAGAAGCTCCTGGCTTCTCCATCTCCTGGTTTCACTGTCTTCCATGGGCTCGGAT